GTCCTCGATAAATGCCTGCAGAGGCTGTTGTGCAATTCCACCAACTAAATATATATACATATTTTCTTTGCGTGACTTCCCCATTAGATGCCGAGTTGGGATAGTTTATGTGCATCTTTAGTTTTTTATGGTCTTTTATGGGGGGGAGTGAATTCTGTAAAATGAACCAACTTAGATCCTGTAGCATGGTATAAATTTTGGATAACTAGTTATGTTTTTCCGTGATAGGTAAACTAAATTTCTTTAGACAAGCCTACTGGAAGAACTAATGCATACTTACCCATAAAATATAAATGCCTGAACTTCTCGTTAGCCCCCATCGTCACACNATCACACTATCATGTAGTAAAATTTCCAGAGCCTTGCCATTTTACCGATGTAAAATCTCCTCATTCATCTAAGATTGTGCTTGCTACTTTATATGTTGGGTTTGTTGTCATACCTTATGTGCACTACAAAACCTATACTGTCTCTCTAGTCATTAGCTCCCAGCCAACCTTCTCATTCAAGCAGGTTCTCTGCTCTTTCAAAATCCTATATTTTATTCCATTCTGAGATTGGTGATGTTTAATTTCCAACTGTATCAAGTTATTTTAACAAGTGGCGAGTTTTAGATTGCCTTTAGCGCTAAAAAGCTGGAGACTGTAATATCTTTCTTCGTTGCTGATATGGGCAAGAAGAAAGAAAAAACATTAATAGACAAAAGAGTAGAGGAAGAGTAATTTGGCAAAAGGGAAAGAGATCCGTGTTAATTTAGTAGCCCCAAGTTGTATTACCTTGATGACTTCCACTCGAGGTCAAGAAAAAAAGGGTGAACGAGTTATTATATTTGAATATTAGTGGTTAATTTGTGAATTAGCCAAATAATTTTCGACCTTTTGAGGTCAGTATATACGGTCATATCATTGTTGGAAGATGTGAAAAGGCTAAAAGATGCAACATTAAATAAAATGATCTGAAGTGTATTGCTTCTAGATATTTTTGATAAAGAAATGTTACTTTTATATATTAAGCTTTACTTAGTGAAGATCTAACAAAATAGGCCATTGTTTGCTGAGGAACTAAAAGAAAATAATTCGATTAAGAGGAGGGAGTATAATTTTTTGTTGGGAAACTGCTGAAATATTAGGATAAATTCATACATATGTAAAAAAGAGTTTTCTGAGAGTTCAAGCGAGCATTTGACACTTGTAGATAGGATGATTAATTTCCTTAGTTTAAGCGAGCATTTGACACTTGTAGATAGGACGATTAATTTCCTTAGTTCTTTTCACATGTAGCTATTTTACTGAGATGCACACGTCACACACTCTGTGGGTGCTATTTCCTAATAAAATTTTCATTGAAAGTTCGAAAGCTAGCATATTGACACTTAGAATCCTGCGGATTAATGATTGAAATGACAGACTAAGGTAACCAGCTATTGGTTGAAGCAGGTGATAGTCAAGTATTTTTCTTGCGAGCTGGTTGCTTTTGTCCAGAGGTGACATGATAAAAAACAATATTAAACTACATACTGAAAATCCTAAAGACCCGTGTGAAATAATAAAGCATATAAAAGTCCAATCACTCTTATCATCAAAAACCATTTGATAGATGATCCCAGCTAGTATATGCTGGTGCTTATAGAAAGAAAAGAATAGAGGATTCTTTGATGGTTTGTCAACTCCGGATCACTCTTTCGTGGCTAGATGCTTCTTGTACAATATCAACAACAACAACAAAAAAAAAAACTAGATCCCTCTTGTATCTATTTAGTTGGTTCAATGTAACCCCTGTAGATACCCCTGATTTTTTTTTTTTTTTTTTTTTTTTTTTTTTTTTTTTTGTGCAGTTTCTTAGCACCCTGGTTTTAGAATAGGCACCTTTGTACAAGGAACTAATTTGCATTTCTTTGCGAGCTCAATTGTAATATCCTTGTACTATCTTTTTGCATCCACTTGATGCTAGCAACGAAACTTTTGCTTCATCAAAAAAAAGAAAAATGAAAAATAAAGCATCTAAAAAGTCCAGTAACAACAATTGTGAAACTAATTGGATACAAATTACTCTTAGCAACATAACCAAAGCTGCCGGGTTTATTCTCCAGCTCTAGCTGCTTTAATTGAAAGAGTGGTCCGCGGTCCTGTATTCTATCAGCTCATGGGTCACAACCATATAGACCATATTTTTCTCGTCTTCAAAGGATAATCTCTTTAGCTTATCAAGCATCCAATCCATGTGATCGATTAGTTTCCTTGCTCCAAACTCCTTCTTATCTGTCTTTCAATGTAGACATTTCGCTTACCTTATGCTATCTATTGTTTTTCAACCTGAACGACGGGGTTAGTTCTGTTTTCGTCTGAGCCTATTTTGGTATTTGAGTGCGAGTTTTGGTTGCTTATTGTTGAAAACTGACTTGGAACCAAATCCACCTCCGATAAAATCTTGAAATGGTGAAACTGCCTTTGCGTTATTGCTTTACAATGTCGGTTAATTTTAATGTCATTGAAGAACTAGTTTTAAGTACTAACTATGCCTCTTCTTGTTTATATCTGTACAGTGTTTGCTTGTGATGAGATGTAAGGAGAATTTCTCTTTAGTGAAGCTATAATGTAATAATGAGCTTGTATATTTACTGCCTTTTGCCATTCTCAAAATTAATCTGTGAATAATTTGGCTGCAGAGCCATCTAAGGTTTCAGTCCACAGCCTTGACAATGGTCAAGTGGAGCAGGGTGCTTTATCTGATCAGAATCTTGTGACAGTTGCTGATACGAGCAGTACTATTTCTTCAGTTTCTTTTAACCACTTACCGGATGTCCTGTAAGTATTCTATACTTTATGTTTAGTTGTGACTTGTAGCTACTATTTGAGCTACGTCATTTTAACTATTGAGCTTTACCAGCATTTATATTTTCTTCATGCAGTAAGCATGAAGCTTTCCGTAGCTCCTACATTCACCCTCTTATTCAGAATAGATTAAGGCAAATGGAGAACAGATCCCCTTTGGATGGTAATATTCGTGATTATTATGGTAAAAGCTTGTGGATGTCACTTGTATATTGAACTTCATGTTATTTATTATGCTCGCAGATTTGAGACACGGAGAAGTTTCTCAAATTGAAGCATCTTCCAGTTCAGGAATCTGCTGCAGTCAACATTTTCTACAGTCAACTTCTGGCAACATTCTCAAATTGAATGGTGCATGCCTTGAACAGTTGGTGAAGGCAAGTAATATGGGCCTGCTTGAGCTTTCACCAGCAGATGAGCTGGAAGGAGAGCTCGTTTATTACCAGCACAGACTGCTTTGTAATGCTGCTGCAAGGAAACGTTTTAGTGGTCTCTGCTATAAACCCCATCTCCCATTTGCGCGTTTTAGCATTATTGCCTCCTTTTCTTGTATGAGAATTGCAGAAAATAACATGCACCTCTTGCTGAGCTTTTTCATGTGCCAGAACTCATGGCTATTGTTGTTGAATTAACTGATGGTCATTTGATTTTCTTTGCAGATGATTTAATTGTTAAGGTTGTGAATAGTCTCCAACAGGAGACTGATGCTGCTAGACAACGAGAATGGGATGCTGTTCTCGTTAGCCAGTATCTTTATGAGCTTAGGGAAGCCAAAAAGCAAGGAAGGAAAGAAAAACGACATAAGGAGGCTCAGACTGTACTGGCTGCTGCAACTGCTGCAGCTGCCGCATCGTCTAGGATTTCATCATTGAGGAAAGATAATGTAGAAGAATCTATGCACCAGGAGGTTGTAAGTCTATTTACGTTAGGACTTGAGAGCCGCTGAAGTAATATTAACAACTATATCAGAATTTTAATCTTGTTGTCGCCATACTGAGTTTATTTGTTTTTTTCTTCTTCTATGCTGGGTGTTTTGAAGATGAATGCTACCAATGAAAGGCTTAGGCTTTCTTCCCAACAGCATCCTCGTGTCAAGGAGACGCTTTCAAGGCCAACCAGTGTGCGGATATTACCAGAGACTAACTCTGATCTTGTCCAGCCAGGTTCAGATTTTTTGAAAGACCATGCCAGAACTTGTGATGTCTGCAGACGGGCCGAGACCATTTTAAATCCCATCCTAGTTTGTACCAGCTGCAAGGTAGGAAGCACTGCATTCCTATTCTTCCTTTTAAAATCTTTTCCTGAGTTCAAATTATCCTTGTTCATAGGTTGCTGTTCACTTGGATTGCTATCGAAGTGTAAGAAACTCAACAGGTCCTTGGTATTGTGAACTATGCGCGGATTTATTGTCATCTGGGGGCTCTGGAGCTCAAGCTTCTAATCTTTGGGAGAAGGAGAAACCTTGTTTTATTGCAGAATGTGGGTTATGTGGTGGTACTGCAGGCGCTTTTAGAAAGTCAAATGATGGTCAATGGGTTCATGCCTTCTGTGCTGAAGTAAAATGCAATCTTCATGTTTAGCTATTCATAATCACACACTAGTTTTATTTACTTTGTTGCACTGATGAATGCACTAATTTCTTTTTGTTCTGTAGTGGGCCTTTGAATCAACTTTCAAAAGAGGGCAGGTACAACAAATAGAGGGAATGGTACGTGCTTAGCAGAATAAGAATGTCTTTTGCTCAATACAGTTGTCTTTAGGTCTGGAAAGCTGGACTTGCATAGTCTATGTAATAGTTATCGTATCAATCATTGTGATAATGGCAGGCAACTGTCCCCAAGGGTAACGATGTCTGCCTCGTATGCCAGCGGAGAAAAGGTGTATGCACTAAGGTAAAAGATGTGATAGGGCTTTTTTTGCATTTTGAAATTGTGTTAAACTTAGTTTGTTTATTGGAATACTACTGTATTACTTGCAGTGTAGTTATGGTCACTGTCAGAGCACATTCCATCCCTCTTGTGCTAGAAGTGCTGGCTTCTTTTTGATCATGAGAACTAACGGTGGCAAGCTGCAGCATAAAGCATATTGTGATAAACATAGTTTGGAACAGAGACTTAAGGTTGGTGTTGTCTTTGTCCATGTAATGGGTGCAAGTTTCTCTAGTGATTAGTACTTGTGTCATATACTCATTGTTTATCACATCTGATCAGTCTGAGACTCAGAGACATGGGGTGGAAGAACTGAAGAGCCTGAAGCAAGTCAGGGTAAGTGATGATATTTGCCTGATTATCTATCATGTTTCAAGTTGCATAAGTTGTCTTGCTGTCCCGTTCATTTTTCTTTGGTTTTTTCCCATGTTTTTGATTTTTTGTCACTTTTCAATTTTCATCTCCATGGTTATTAATTCTGCTAAACACTAAATAGTGTATTAGACATAGTGCTTTCAATCATATTTTATGGTTGCGATGGAACATAGACATCTGCTGCATGGACAGTTTAAGTAGGAGAATTGACAGTTAGTTGCACCAGTTCGATATAAATTTTATATGTTCACTTAGGAAATAGGATACTATTAAGAGGGTGTTGGACAGAGTAGCTGGTGGGTCTAGAAATTGGGGGCTGTTTTTTTTTTTTTTCCGCTTTTCAGTTTTGATCTCCATGGCTATTAATTTGCACGCTACTGACATAGTCATATTTGGTGTCTGCTGTGCTGTGCATTATCAATGACCTATTAATGTAGAAAGAAAAAAAAGAAGAGACGGGTTGCAAGTGAGACGCTTTTGAAGGCTGTGTTTAATATATAGACATGCATGAGCAAAAGCTACTGGAAATTAAAGCAATACTTAGAAAATAGAGAATCACAAAAGTTATGCTGGACCAAAGAGTTTGAAACGTACAAGCAATTTCACTCTTCATGCCAAAAAAGAAAATGCGTACAACCATTTTCTTTAAGCTTGTGAGCCATTCAGTTAAATCCTGAAAGCATTTCAGACAGTGTTCAGGGTTGGATCATATACCGTAGGTGGCCTCTTCTTCCAAATCTTAGTAACGAGAATAGGTCCAGTATAACCCGGTGCCTAAAAGGAAAATAGAACAAGTGACTATACTACCAACTACCAAGGTCACAGATTCTTCTTTTTACTGCCTGAAAGTCTCTATTTTTGCCATGTCGTTTGCAAGATGTTGGAGCAAGAGAACTACCCCAAAGAAAAACTTTTTTTCCCCTGAATGGTATATTGTTCTTGTTTTGGGAGTTGGGAGGACACCCTGTATCTTGATATGGCCTAGCTCCCTTTTGGCGCTAAAGAGAAGCTTGTGTAATTTAAGAGAAACTGACCCCGGGCTTATCAAGAAGATGGAGAAAATGACTCCTATTGGGTCCTTCCTAAGAAAGAAGTGAAGACTAAACCTTGGGGTTAAACTATAGACCAAGTTACTATTTGTAGTCGGCAACAGATTTCTTGTTTCTTAAGTCCTTATTGTGCCTGCAACTACAGTTGATGTTCATAAATCCAATTTTACAAACGATATTTTGAGCAATTTTACAGTTTTTTTAATTAGGAGCTCCTTTCTTTTACCAGGATGTTTCTTTGAACAACTTACTGTCGTGTGATGTGAGGTTGGCTTAGTTGGCATGCAGGAGTTTCAAATTCAATATGATTTGCTGTCTAAAATTTTAATCTGAACCAGGTTGTTTTAATCCAGTTGGTGTTGTAAGTAGTTGAACTGGGTCCGACAAACCTTAATCATGTCTTTTTTTTTTATTTTGATTTAACTTTTTGGTTCAACAAATTTAGAACATGGTGGAAAGCAAAGGAACATTAGTACTTGGAGCTTTTTTATTTTTTGGATAAGGTAAGGTGAGTATTACTAAAAAAGTGACACCGAGTAGGTGCATTGGGGTGTGCAATACAAAAAGCAAAGACTCAAGACCTTACTGCACATAATTGAGGAATTCTATCAAAAGTAGCAACGTCATATACATTTGTCAGCTTACACCAGTATGCTAATGTAAAGATACATCTGTATCTGATCTTCCTCAGACAGTCCTTTCTTCCTTAAAAGATCCGCTGGTTTCTCTCCTTCCAAAACACTCACCAAATAGCTGCAAGGATAGCGTTACAAAATGGTTTCATGCAGTGTTTTTGAGCGCAAAAAAGCGACAGAGGCTCGCCTCGCTTCAAAAGCGAAGCGCAGCTTCATTGAAGTGAAGCGCAATTCTTAAAATACATATAATATATATAATAATTAATTTATAAACTGAAATATACATTAAAAAAATCAAATAAACTAAAATATAAAATATATATATAATAATAATAATAATAATAATAATTAATTTTCTAAACTGAAATACATTTTAAAATTAATCAATCTGAAAATATAACATATATATAATAATTAATTATATAAACTGAAATACACATTAAAAAATCAAATAAACTAAAATATAACATATATATAATAATTAATTTTATATACTGAAATATACACTAAAAATAAAAAAAACTGAAAAATATAACATATATAAATAATGGAAGAAACAAGGAGAAAGGAAGCAGAAGAATCAAACCAGCGCTGGACTCTTCTGGTCAGAACTCAGAAGAAAAAAGAAAGAATAAGGAAGACGAAGAAAGGAGAAGAAGAAAATTACTTGGAAACCCTAGTTTTGTCGATGAAGAAGAGAGAAGGGATCTCTGTTTTGTCGAGCAATTACAGAAGCGAGCTTAGGGGTCTGTTTTGTATGATTTATAAACAGACCCAATCTTTTTTTTTTTTAAAAAAAGGGCCCAACTGCGATTTTTTAATAGAAGCGATCACTTCATCGCTTCGTCTCTTTGTCCACTGAAGCGTGCGCTTCACACGGTCGAGTCGCCTCTCTTTGGGAAAATCGATGCCTTGTCGCTTCGCGCTTAAAGCGACGAAGCGATCGCCTTTTCAAACACTGGTTTCATGTCTCTGTTCGTTACTTTCTGTATAGAGGAGTAATTTTTGTGCTTTCTGGCATACACTATTTCAGCTCTAAAAGATTCAGAATCGCTCTCCCTATTTGAGAAATGACCTTACAGTGAATAAAAAGATGGTTCGCATCTTCATATCCATCCTCACAAAGTACGCATCTGTTATTTTGAGTCAAACATGCCTCCTTGCTGTTGTTTTTCTTTCTGCTTTTTTCCCAGAAAAGATGGAAGGGGTGGTTGATTTTAGGCTCTATGTGTTTATTCAATAGTTTCTCAGGACAACTTGTTATAGGATTGTATTCAGGGTTGGACGCTGCTCAAAGTGCAAATTTTATGCTTTGGCTTGTAAATCTTTTGTGGCTGTTATCCCAGTCTATGAAGGTCCTTTCCATTATATGCTGCAGTTGTGAGCTACTGTTGGAATCTGATATTGAAGCGTTCTGTTTTTGTCTATCTATCTAGAATATTTTTGCTCATACCGGAGTGGCGAAGATCCTTATCCTTTCAAATCTTCATGTGCAGGTTGAATTGGAGCGATTACGGCTATTATGCGAAAGAATTGTTAAGAGAGAGAAGCTGAAGGTACCTTTTCTTTCGTTCCCATGCTCTTTGCAGATTGATGGCAGTTGTGAATACTCTTCCTGCATTTTTTCAGTTTGATATCACTGTTTGCCGCTGCCTTGTCAAACTCATCACTTTTGTTGCATTGCTGGTACAAGCTTTTTACTTGTTTCGTTTGCATATTGTTAGTTTGGTGTCTTGTATTATTACAATCTTGTGATTGTGCTTTACTTTGTCTGATTTGAATCAATTGTTTCTATGGTAAGAAGCATTCTTTTTAGTACTATAGATATTGCACCTTTTTCCAAAGGAGGAGCACTTGGTTACCTTTCAAAGTACGCTGGCCAAGACCTAGATTGATTACCTACTCCTTAGTAAGTGTGATAGTGGCCTTTGCATGGATTACAAGGTTATTCCCAATGAGAATCTCTTGACCCAATATAGGCTCTTGGTGATGGACTTGGAGATCAGGAGGAGGAGGAGGAGGAAGAAAAGGGTTGTGCATGGTCTACCTAAGATCAAGTGGGGAGCCTTGACTAAGGACAAAACTTAGGTGTTGGGGGAGAAGTTGGTGGTTATGGGGGCATGGAGGAGTAATGGGGACGCGGGTAGTATGTGGACCATGACAGCGAAATGCATTAGGGAAGCTGCTAGGGTCTCGGAAGGTTACTTTGGAGGGCACAAAGGGGAGTGGTGGTGGAATGGAGAGGTCCAAAGAAAAGTTGAAGCCAAGAAAGCGGCGTACTTGAAGCTGGCGGAGAGCAAGGACGAGGAGGAGAAGAGGAAGAATAGGGAGTAGTACAAGAGGGCCAAGAAGGAGGCAAAGTTAGCGGTTACGACGGCTAAGACGGTAGCATTTGGACGTTTGTACGAAGAACTTAGCGACAATGGTGGGGGACAAGAAGCTATATAGGCTAGCCAAGGTGAGAGAAAGGAAGGCTCGTGACCTGGATCAAGTGAAGTGCATCAAAGACGAAGAAGACAAGACTATAGAAGAGGCGCATATTAGACAGATGATAGACATACATCCATAAACTCCTAAATGAAGAAGGGGACATGGGTATTGTGTTGGTGATTTGGAGCACTCCGAGAGTCATCGAGATTTTGGTTTTTGTAGGCGTATTAAGATTGGAGAGGTCGAGAGGGCTATGCGTAAGATGAGCAAGGGAATAACGATCGGGCCTGATGAAAAAGTAGAATTTTTGAAGAGCATGGGCAGAACATGCTTGGAATGGCTCACTGGATTGTTTAACATCATGTTTAGGACAAAGAAGATGCCTCACGAATGGAGGTGGAGTATGATGATTCCGGTGTACAAAAATAAGGGTGATATCCAAAATTGCAGCAACTATAAGTGTATCAAGCTGTTGAGCCACACTATGGAAGTTTGGGAGAGGGTAGTGAAAGCGAGGGTGAAGACGAGCGTGTCTATTTCCGAAAGCCAGTTCAGATTCATGCCTGGGCGTTCGACTAAGAAAGCCATTCACCTTGTAAGGAGGTTGGTGGCGCAGTATAGGGAGAGGAAGAGGGAATTGATCTAGAGAAAGCATACGACAAAGTCTCGAGGGGGATTCTATAGAGATGTTTGGAGGCTAGGGTTGTTCATGTTGCTTACACTAGAGTGATTAAGGACATGTATGATGGAGCTAAAATACGGGTGAGGATAGTGAGGGATGGGGGTTCGGACCACGTACCAATTGTGATGGGGTTTCAACAAGGGTCGATTCTTAGCCCATTTTATTTGCCTTGGCGGTGCCATGGTGTATGTTATTGCGGATGATATTGTACCGATTGACGAGACGTGAGACAGTGTTAACCCGAGACTAGAAGTTTGGAGACAGACTCTGTATAAAGGTTTGAAGCTGAGTAGAATCAAGACTGAGTACTTAGAGTGCAAGTTCAGTGAAAAGACCAATGGAGCAAACACGAGGCTTGATACACAAATATAGTTTCAAGTACCTAGGGTTTATTATCCAAGAAAATGGGGAGATTGTTGAGGATGTTACACATCGTATTGGAGCGGAGGTGAAATAAAGTCTCGCATCCGGTGTTCTGTGTGATAAGAATGTGCCACCTAAACTTAAGGGTAAGTTTTACAGGGTGGTTGTCAGATCGACCTTATTGTGTGGAGCAGAGCGTTGGCCAATCAAGAACTCCCATGTCCAGAAGATGAAAGTAGCAGAAATGAGGATGTTGAGATGGATGTGCGGGTATACCAAGATTGATAAGATTAGGAATGAAGATATTTGGAACAGGGTGGGAGTAGCCTCAGTGGAGGACAAGATGCGGGAAACGAGGCTTAGATGGTTTGGTCATGTGAAGAGGAGAATCACAGACGCCCCCACTGAGGAGGTGCGGGAGGTTGACCTTGGTGGGTCTGAAGAGAGGCAGAGGTAGGCCAAAGAAGTACTGCGGAGAGGTGATTAAGCAGGATTTACCGTTGCTTCAGCTCACTGAAAACATGACCCTTGATAGAAAGGTGTGGAAGTCGAGAATTGGGGTAGAAGGTTGGTAGGTAGTCGAGTGTGTATCTTCCCCTTACCAGTAGTACTAGTAGTTAGCCTTGTATTCTACTATTGTTAGATCTCTATTACTACATATTGATTATTCCGCTTGTTATCTTGCTGTTGTTATCTTGTTATGTTGCTTCCTCTCTACCCTCAAGGTAGGGGTAAGGTCTGCATATACACTATCCTCCCCAGACCCCACTTGTGGGATTTTATAGTAGGTTTGTTGTTGTTGTTCGTAGATATTGCACGAAATGTGGGATTTGCTTTATTCTTCTTTTATGCTGCATGTTTTTCTGGTGTGTTGGCCTGATGGTTGTTTCTTGATTTGCAGCGGGAAGTAATCCTTTGCTCACATGATATTCTAGCTTCAAGTAGAGACAATGCTGTTTTATCTGCTCTGACTCGACACCCTTACTTCCAACCTGATGTTAGTTCAGATTCAGCTACTACAACATCCATTAAAGGCTACACTGATGGCTATAAATCAGGCAGTGAAACAATACAAAGATCAGATGACATAACAGTAGACAGTGCTGTAGCAGGAAAACGACGCATTAAGTTTCCTGTGCCTATGGACAATGATCAGAAGACTGATGATAGTTCTATATCACCCAACCCTGTCACACAAAAACCTGCACAACGAGCTTCATTTTCTGGGAAGCAAATCCCTTATAGAGCTTCTTGCAATTCTACAGATGACGGGGACAAGCGATTGAGCTACAGAAAGGTAGAGTCTTGTTCCATCTGATTCATTAGGTTTGACATTCTTCATAACAGGAAACATCCATGCCTTTAGTTGGATGTATGGTTAGATATTTGATATGCATTATTTGCTGGAATTTAGATGTTAACCAGTTTCTTGCATGTACAGCATATGGAAACTTTTGAGAAAGAGCTGGTAATGACTTCAGATCAAGCCTCAATGAAGAACCAGCGATTACCTAAAGGGTACGTCTATGTCCCAATCCGGTGCCTTCCGAAGGAGGAGGAAGCTGCTCCAGATGAGTGTTCTGGAGAACCACTGGATCCTGATGGATAGATTTAGCTCAGTCATTGTAGGATTTTGGTTCGAACGAGCACGCCATATCTGGCATTTTGCTGCTGGTACACCATTTTTATCTGAACCATCGGGGAGGATGGCTTATTTAAAGTTAAGATGATGTCAACAAGCGCCCTTCCAGGAGCCATCGAGATTAGGTTGAGGACGGTATCTGATTGTTGTATATTCATTCAGAGCTTACTGTACAGTGGAATTTGGAGTGGTTTGAATGGCTATGTCCCGATGGCTGTTTGTGGTGAGCTGGGTGGTGATAGTAGCTCTGCTTCTTGTAATTGTATACAGTAGTTAGAGGATATTCCCTACTACGCAAGCCTTGTAAAGTTATTGTAAATATTCTTACAGTGTTGATTCAAAGCAATTAGCGCAGAGCAGTGAGTTTAATTTTATCATCATAGTTCCACATTATTTTAGCGTTTTCTCGTACTGATTTCACGTTTCACCAGCTGTTATGTAAACCCTCGACTTTGTTGTTTGCCCTCTTTCAGTAGATTTTGGCATTGCCACGCGTTACTGCACAGTCGTCCTTTGCATTTAGGTATACAGTAGGTAAAATGCTTGTTTCAGTTGGCGAATTTGCAGATGAGATTATCTACCATAGTTTTAGCATCGACTATTTTCACAAATTATTTGTTATGGGACCAGTTTTGTTCTGCTTGTTATACTGGAATTGTGATGCGTGAATTAATTATGCTGTGAATATTAATGAAATAATATTATTGTAAAATACAAATTGTTTTACAGTGAATAATATATAGAGAGTTATGTAACAAATCAGTTTTAACAATTTTGTTGTCGTTAAATACTTTTGTTTCCATATTACTGGTTCATATATGTCCTATTCTAACTAGTCTTTGGGTACACGATATCTAATGAGCGCAATATTTTAAAACTAATATATATATATATATATATGGCTCGTTTCCATGAAGTTTGATGCCATGCTTACCCAATTAACCCACTTCTTGGAATTTTGACCGATGTACCAAGATAGGGCCAGTAAGACTCCTCATGAATAGCTTTATGCAAATCCTTTCATCCTTCTCAACTCCCACGAGTTTGTCACAGTATGTCCTCAAATGTACCTTCGGGTCACATGTTCCATCAAACATCTTGAACTTCGGAGGTTTGTAACCCTCTGACAGTTCTACGTCTGGCTGAATACATAGATCCTTATAGTTCAAACCTTCAATTCCTTTGCCTCCTTCAACACCCTGGACTCGACTTGTGAGCTTCTTGAGCTGCTCTGCCATATTCTTGATGAGCAAACTCTTCTCGGTGCATTCTGGTGTGTATGAGGTTGTTTGAGTGGAGTGGGGTAATGTTTCTACGTATATGAGATTGTTTTGGTGGATGCCGGGAGTTTGAGTGTAATGGTGATCATTAGTTGAATTTTGTGGACCGGGGATAGGTTGTGGGGTATCCTGAGGAGTATGGTAAGTGGTTCGTGGGTATTGAGTAGGAAGATGCTGGTGCTGATGAGGTGTCGGTACGGGTAGAGGATTAGGATTTTGAGGAAGTGTTGCGTATTGGTGGGGTGCAGGAGGATTTTGCGAACGTTGGTTTGGTGTGTTTTGAGGAGGTACTGGGTTCTAGGCATTTTGCAGGTTAATGTCTGGGACGTTTAGGGTGAGGGAAAGGTTTGCCAATTTATGGACCTGCTCAAGTTCACCTTGCAATTCTAGTATCTTCTGCTCCAACCGCAAGACAAAATCATTCTGTGCCGGAGTACTTCGACCATCTGAAGTCTCAACATTCTCTGCATGTGTAGCGTTGTCTTTCCTGACACCACTCATATCATACATCTTAGCTTTTCCCTTACTTTTCGGATCACTTGGAGGAGGAGGTGGAGGGCCTCTAGATCTGGTGTGATATGCGGATGATGCCAGTATGTGCGAACCAACTTTAAAGGATGGGAACAATCAAAATAAAGAAAAAAACAAAAAGGTAAACAAGTCAGTAAGAATTCTGAAAAGGTATTTGCAGTATTTAGACACGTATTGCGGAAATATAAATTCGCGTTTTAATTTAGGAACCTCGTTGTGCCAGAGGTAGGCCTAGCGACACTTAGATTTGGAGAAATTTAATGCCGATAACTACCTCATTTCATTAATGTAGTAAATAAGACGAACCTAAAACGACAATAAATAAATGAGTCATTTGCCTTATTACATTCGAATTCCAAAATGACTCTAGAAAAGCAAATAATCATAATCTAGGCCTCTTGTGGAATAGAGATAGGCTGAGTGCCCGGCACCAGATCAATACCAAAATAAATATCTCTGTCCGGTGGCATGCCCGGTAGGTCTGCAGGAAACACATCGAGAAAATCCCTCACAACTGGAACAGAATCAATACTGGGAGTCTCTGCACCGACTTCTCTCACAAAGGCTAAATACGAAAGACAACCCTTCCCAACCATACGCTGGGCCTTCAAGAATGATATTACCCTACTGGGAACATAATCTGTCGAACCTCGCCACTCAATCCGTGGCACACCCGGCAATGCCAACGTCATTGTCTTAGCATGATAGTCCAAAATAGCACGACACGGAGATAGCCAATCCATGCACAATATAACATCGAATTCTACCATGAATAACAACAGAAGATCCACTAAGGTCTTCAGACCCCCAATAGTCACCACACATGACCGGTACACACGGTCTACAACAACAGTATCGCCCACCGGAGTAGATACACGAATAGACGAAACAAGAGACTCACAGGGCGTATCCAAATAACGAGCAAAATATGATGACACATAAGAAAAAGTGAAGCCAGTATCAAATAATACAGAGGCATCTCTGTGGTAGACTGAGACAATACCTGTAATCACAACATCTGAAGCAATAGCATCGGGTCTAGCTGGGAGTGCATAGAAATGGGCCTGGCCACCGCCTGATCGACCTCCCCCTATGGGGCGGCCCCTAGCTGACTGTCCTCCACCCCGAGCTGGCTGGGTGGGTGATGGTAAAGTAACTGGTGCTGAAGTCGATGGCTGACTCCTCTGATGAGATGAACCCCCAAGACGACGAGGACACTGCCTCCACATGTGATCTATCTCTTCACACTCATAGCAACTCCCGGGTGTTGGAGATGTGGACTAAAGGGAACCCCTAACACCGGAATGACTGACAGATGCATCTGGCATAGAAGAGCCCTGAACTGATGTAGCACGTGACGAACTCTGAGCTGGAAGGGCACTAAGTGATGACTGGCCTTGATGAGAACTGTGAGAGCCATGAACCGATGACGCCCCATGATAACCTGGCGAGCTGGCTGAGCATGCCTGAATAGACGACCTCTGTTGTGCTGAAACTGACCCCTCGAAGGAGCTCCACCATAACTACCAGATCCTCGAGGCCTCTTGGCCTCCCTCTCATCTCGCTCTTGACGACGAACTGACTCAATCTCGCGAGCAATGTCAACAACCTCCCCAAAAGTAGCACCAGACACCCTCTCACTGATCATGAGAATACAAAGCTGATAAGTGAGGCCATCAACGAACCTCCTAATCCTCTCTCTCTCTATCGGAACCAACAAAACAACATGACGAGCTAACTCTGAGAACCTCATCTCATACTGCGTTATAGTCAAATCCCCTTGACGTAACCACTCGAACTGCCTGCGTAGCTCCTCTCTACGAGACTGTGGCACATACTTCTCCAAAAAGAGAACGGAGAACTGTTGCCAGGTGAGGGGTGCTGCATCAACATGTCTACGCCTCTCATACGGCTCCCACCAAGTGAAGGCAGCTCTAGAAAACTGAAAAGTAGTGAAACCAACCCCGATGGTCTCCAGAATACCCGATGTACGAAGAATCCTCTGACAGTTGTCCAAGAAACCTTGGGCATCCTCGCCCTCTGTACCACTGAAAGTTAGAGGCTGAAGTCTACCAAACCTCTCCAACCTGCGCTGCTCATCCTCTGGCATAGCAGGAGTTACATAGTCCTGAACAACTGCAACCAATTGGGCTCGAAGTGCCCCCGGTGTCTAAAGTCCCTGCACGACCTGCTCAGGTATGCGAGCAGCGGGAGTCTGAGTGCCTCTTCCGGCCTGAGATGTAGCTGCGGCTGTGGTAACTGAGACCGCCTGAGCTAGGCTAGTGCATACTGATAGAATCTGAGCTAGGGCCTCTTGAAGACCCGGAATCACAATGGGCACAACTGGTGCTGTTGGAGTGTCCACAACTGGAACCTGATCCTAAACTGGGGCAGATGGTAGATCTACAGGTGTTGCGCTAGCTGCGGTGCGGGATACACCTCTGCCCCTACCATGACCTCGACCGCATTCTCGGCCTCTAGTTGCCATAGCTGGTGGTACTGGTGGTCGTCCATCCTGACCACTCGCTCGTTTCCTCACCATCTGTGAGAGAATAGAATAACAGAAGTTTAGTACTCGGATCAACAAATTTGCACGACAAGAATTTCAAGAATATGAAGTTTTTCCTAAAGGTTCTGCAGCCTCTCGAGGATAAATACAGACGTCTCCGTACTGATCCGCGAGACTCTACTAAACCTGCTCATGACTCGTGAGACTTATGTAACCTAGGATCTGATACCAACTTGTCACGAACCTAAATCCAGACCCGATCGTGATGGCGCCTATCGTGAAACAAGGCCATCCAACACTACTCCCAATTTATTTTAAACAATTATAATAACACAATTTTTAAGTCATTAACATGCTAATAATCCCAAATAAAAGTGGAATAGTGCAATTTGCGGAAATCAACACAGCCTGACATCAGGGTGTCACCAGTCATGAGCATCTAATATAAGTCTAAGAGTATGAAAGAGTTTATACAGTCTATTACAGAACTTGAACAACGGAAGTAAAATAGGAGGGAGAAACACTGGGCTGCGAACGCCGAGCAGCTACCTAGTGGACTCCGAATAGCTTGCTGGGAGCAATCAACCCTCACTGGCGGGACCCAAAGCTCATGAATCTGCACACAGGGTGCAGGGAGTAAAGTGAGTATTCCAACTCAGTGAGTAATAAAAGTAAAAGCAGCTGAGAGGTAAGAAATCACGTAAAGCACAACAACATGCTATAAAGAGATAGTATAAAATCCATACAATGCACCAAAACAGTGAAAACTTGTAGAAACACCTCAGTTCAGTAAATACCTCTTTAAACATCTTTTAACAGTTAAACAAGTGAATGAAAAACAACAAGAAAAGATAAACACATAAAATCAGCCCCTCGGGCACAATACCAACAGAAATCAGCCTTTCGGGCAATAACATGGAACAACCTCAGTCCCTCGGGCTATATCACATATCATACTGGGTACCCGCGCTCACTGGGGGTGTACAGACTCCGGGAGGGGCTCCTTACGTCCCAAGCACAATATCAAGCCATCTCGTGGAATAATCAGACAGGCTCTCGGCCTCATATCAAGC